TTATTTTAATGTAATGTAATTTTTTTTTTTTTTTTTTTAGTGTTTGAGGTCCAGAGAATGTAGTTGCTTGCTCTTCCCCCCTTATAGCCCTAATTCTGTAGGAGATAATGAAGCACACACTTCTAGGCAGCAAACAGAGAAGGAAAAACAAACTCCATCAAATGAAATTAGGTTACATGCTGAATGCCTTAAAAAGCAAAGTCTTTAAAAAGTAAAGCTATTTCTTACTCTGTAGCAGTCTGAAACTCAGTATGAACCTTTATTTCCTGCGAAAGGAAATTGTCAATTTAACAAAACAGATGGGGTCCTATACTGAATGCTGGTGCAGCTTTAAGATCGTGAGGAAGAGTTGCTACTGGTCTTCCATCTAGAATCCTTTTGCCTGCCCCAAGCTAAATTCACCAACTTTTCATTCCCTCTGTCTGTTTTGAAGGAGGGCAACGTTTCAAGTTGCCTTGCTCCCCTGTCACCCTCTGTTGCCCTGTTCAGAGGTGCTAGTGATAAACAAATCAAGATAACTGGCCAGTAGCCAGAGTTTTGTCCTGTGAGGAAGACCCGAGAGGCTATGCTACCGCAGTCCAGTGTACTTTCAAACAGTAGAAAATTAAGTCATGAAATGCAGATTGTAGCAGTGACCTCTAGTATGCTCCTGATCTACACTTAATGTAAAAGCCATAGAACTTTCCAGGGAAGTTTAAAAAATATAGTGGCTGAGCTCCTGGCCCAAGTGTTTCAGTACTTCCCTTAGCCAATAGATGCACTAAAGGAAAGGTGGCATTCTCTGGAAGGAATATCCTCCTGAACTGAAGCCAGGATTTATTAAGTACCTGCCAGTCTGAGCAGGCACAGGGGAAGCAAAGCACCCTGACATTATAACAAACCAAACCTCAGTTCCCAAAGAAGAACAAACACACACATTTTATTGGTATTCCTGTTCAGTTACTAAAACAATTGAAGACCAACTGCGTAAGTATAAACCCCTGGACATCATGGTAGGTTTTCAGAGAATGTCAATTAGGCTGAATGTTTTCTAACAACTTGAATGCCTGATGGAATATTTGGAAAAGATGTGAAGCTAGCAAAGGTCATAGATCAAACTGTTTGAAACCACACATACTATTTCCTGGGAACTCTCTGCTGTTGCTAATTATTTTGCTCTGTGTCAGCACAGAAGACAGAGAGATGGGCGCTGGGGCCCTGGCCAGATGTGCACTTCTCAGCTACCCCTAGTTCTGCTAAGAGCTGGCTGGGACCCAGTTCTGCTTTCTTTTTCTAGGCCCAGTAAATGATTTCCTTACACATTTTGAGCCATTGAACTTCCATAAACACATAACCATTTTCTCTGCAAAATTGTTGCTCTTTCACTAATTACCTAATTTGCCACACTTGAGTGAGGGAGACCTGGTGAGCATAAAAGAGCAAAGGAGAGAGATGGTTAAGCCAACTCAAGCTGGGAGAGAAGCAAAGTAATTTTTTCCCTCCTTGAATCAGTCCATATATTCTCATTTTGGTCTTGGCAAAATGAGCAATGGGATCTGTACCTTCATTGATTTCAAATGTTATCTTAGTTTGAACTTTACATAAAAATAAGACCAGAAGAAATGCATCTTTAGATATATCTTCTAAAAGGCATTGGTCTTGTGGGTGATGTTGCATTGAATAAGCCATACCCGCTGCCATCAAATAGACCTCACATGAATAGGGGACTCACCTGTAATGTAAGGTGCAGTGTGATCTGGGGCTATAAGAGAAGTATGAAGGAACGGCTGGTTAAGGAAGCCCATGTCAGAGGGATGAACTTGAAGACAAGGTAGCATTTCAGTTGAGTCTGGTGCTTTTCATAGACAAGGAGGTAGATGAGTGTATTCTGAGGAAGGGAAGAGCGTGAGGGAAGAGAATAGCATAAATGTTGACTGAATAAAAGAATGACTGGACAGTGAATAACCCCATTTGGCTCGTAAATGTAGGCAGATGATGAGGAAGGATGGAAAGTCAGGTGGGAGCCATGTTGGAAGGGTCTAGAATACTGTGGTTGACAGTGCAGATCCATTGTCAACTCTGGACTGCTAAAGGAAATGAGTAGGTCTGTTAGGAGGCTATTGCTCTAGACGAGACAAAATGAAATGAGGATTGGAACTAGAGAGATGACAATTATAATGGAAGTAAAGCTAGTCATTGGAAAGATGGTTTGGAGGTAGAATTTGGAGATTCGTAAACTGAGTTGACGAGGTGAATAATAAGCAGAAAGGGTCAAAAGATATAGCAGTTTAGAGCCTGGAGAGTCTGGTTGGATGTTTCTTCTGTCATTCCAATTTGGGGAAAAGAGCTTCTTTGCTACCCAAGTGCTTGTAAAGAACTACCAGAGTCTCCAGAGAGACTTGAAGATCTCTGTGCTCACCATCACTCACAGTGATGTCTGTGACTTAATAGTAACAGCCAGCACTAATGTAGTATTACCACATGCCAGGCCACTGGTGTAAGCACTTGGCATTTATTATGTTATTTAGTTCTTACAACAATCCTATAAGGTCATTACTCTTACTCTCATCTCCATTTTACAGGTGAGGAAACTGAGGCACAGAGAAGCGAAATAACGTGCCCTGGGTCCCACGGCTAGTAGGTCACAGAGCTGGAATTTAACACAAGTTGAATGGTTCCAGTCAGTACTCTGAATACTTTGGCGGACAGTATTGTATTTTTTAAAACCCAAAGTTCAATGGCATGGACCTCTGAAATTCATAATTGTGCATAGAGAATAGTACATGTACGACTCTCTGACTTGGTCATGCGAGTAGTTTTCATTATCTGGATGGAAAGGATAATGTGCATAGAAGAGAGACTATAAGGCAAATACCAGCATGTTACGGTATGCAAACAAATGTATGTTAAAAATTCAGGAATTTTGAAGGGAATTAGATTCATTTTAACATGCTTTTTCTGGACTTTCTTGAACATTCTAGACCAGAAGGTACATTGTATGTTACTGGAAGAAATGTGACTGGAAAAATTAGCCCTAGACTCCAATTGAGAAGACACAGGGTCTAGTCCTGGTACCCAGGCCCACTGCTGGGCTGCTTCCGTGTCCACAAACAAAAGAGCAAAAAGTAACTAAAATGATATTTTAAACAATATAATTCAGCAAGGGTTAAGAAGAGCGAAAGAGTAA